GGAATTCTTGTTGATTTGAAAAGCCTCATTACGAGCACGGAAAACAGTGTTTCGTCCGATATCAAGATACCTTGAGGTCGACCCACTTATCAGTTTCTACAATTTATATAGATCACTCCCTCGCGTGTTTCATTTTCGGTGTTTTGAGATGAGATCAAACACTCCTTGTTTTTAGCATATATCTTTTCTCGGTGTCTGGATTTCTGATGTCAGACTCCTCTTGTTTGATGCATTACTTCTCGATGTTTGGATATCAGATTATTAATATGTTACTTCTCAGTCTTTGGATATTAGATGAAACACTCTTTCTCGTGTTTAATATATTACTTCTCGGTGTTTGGATATCAGATGAAACACCCCTTCTTATGTTTAATATATTACTTCTCGGTGTTTTGATGTCAGATAAAACTTTCCTTCTCGTGTTTGATATGTTACTTCTCGGTGTTTGTTATCTAATGAACCACTCCTTCTTGTGTTTAATATATTACTTCTCGGTGTTTGTTACCAGATGAAGCATCCCTCTCGATTGTGATATATTGCTTCCAACATCTTTAAAATAACACCACCGTAAGAGAACAGAATGGTCAATTCATATTTGTTGAATGTATTTTTCATGTTTTTTCCTGGTCAATTCATATTTCTGTAATGTTTTTTTTTTCCACTTTTTTTCTAGTCCCTGCGCAATCCTCTTCGGCTGAAGTACAGTTGCCCGTCCCAATCCACGTGGAAGTTAGCTGTGGACTCCTTGATGACTGTCACGCGGAAAGGACTTAACGTGGCTCTTTCTCGCCCAGGTAAGCTGAGATTGTGTGACAAAGGAGGAAAATAAGTTATAAGTAAACACGAAAAGACAAAAATAAATCAAATTATTACATAACCACCAATGAAATACCAGGTGAGCCTTGGCGAGAAAACACGTAAAAATAAAATGTTATTTTCACACGTGAAAAGCTCACCGTTGCTGTGGTTACACAATAGATCGCGCCTTTCGCAGCAAAGAATATTTTAATATTCTTTAAAAGGTAAAATGGTTTAGTATTTTATTGGTGTTTATGTAATAAATAGAACATTACATGGCTACTTGGAGATACGAAAGTTCTCTTCTCGCGTTATAAGAAATTTTTTCGCGTTTGGGTAATTTTCAACACTTGAAGAGAAATTTCGTATCTCCGCGCGGCCATGCTATATCGCCTATTTATGGAAACGGAGGTGTGACTGTGAATTTTTGGACAGACCAAACCTTTTTACTACATAATAGACCCCTCTGGTTCCAATTCATTGAGCACACACAGCAAAATGAGGTGCACGCTTTGGTGGACAGTTTCATACAAATCGCTGTATATTAGGGAGCTTAAGCAACGGTGTTTTTGGCGACGGACGTCAACCGGAAGTGGACTTTTTGCATCGCTGGCCAGTAGTTTGGTTGAAACTCTCGGGTAAATCCTCTTTATAAGAGAAAAGAAAGTTAGCAATACAAATTTGTTAGCGCCAAGGCAGATAAAAAGGGGGGAAGGCCTCACTTCCGCTTGACGTGCGTCGCTCAAAAACGTCTTTGCTTAAGCTCCCTATTGTTATCCCCTACCTCGAGTTGGTGCGCTTGTTCACAGGAATGCGGAAACGATCTATTGTCTTTTTCCGTGACAATAGGGCCATTTATACGAGGAAAAATAAGACGCGAACTTTCCGTATAAACGGCACATTTCGTCTAAAATAAGACGCGGCTTAGCTAAGACGCGTCTTATTAGATAAGACATGCTCGTATAAATGGTACAGTCCGCTTCTTATTTAAGACGCGTCTTATTTTTCCTCGTATAAATGGCCCTAATGAAAAGCTGTTTTTACTTTTCATTACCCTCACGTTCGGAGGCAATATATATGTAATGAGAGTGAGTATTAATTTTTGAAGGGGATATTCCTAGTTTAATAAACAGGCTTCTTGTTGAATTTTCACTCACTAGTCATTTTTTAACTCCATCATGTTTTCTTTATTGCGTTCA